TTCTTTCTCTTTCCTTCACTATTTACTATACCAAAAAGTTTACAGAATATAAGATGTGATACTAGGGTTCTGCCTCTCTGTTGGGGGCGTTACATAGTATTTATAGGGGTGACGCTTAATCTATGGGATCTGATCCGTGATTCTCGCCATCTATCCGAGATTCTTGCCCTTATTTCGTGGGCTTCTCCCTAATTCTAGGAGAAAATCTTAGTTAGTTGAAATTGGATGTCTTGATCACAGCTTCCTAACGCTTTAGGATTCTCTCGTGGTTATCCAGTTGTTGTCTTGCCTTAAGAGACACTCGGCCCTTACCCTCTGACCTCTGAGCTGACCTCCTGAACTTAGCACTTGAAATTTATTTTAGGTATCATCAGATATATAGGATTCAGGAAGCACCCACCTAAAAACCAACCCCTAAAAATATCAAAATTTTTCAACCCATCATTCAACTAATTAACCTTTACGTGTGAAATGCATTATTTTCTGGAATGTTCAATGCAAAAGTTGTTGCACATAAGCTTTTAATTGATCCCTAAGATGGATAGGATTTAGATACTATTCAATACAATTTTTCTTAATTTTTTAATAGTAAATTACTCAACATATATCCATCTCGTACCAATGGGCCTTTGGTGCAATAGTACTCCTTATTTTGTAAAGACATTGTCTTCTTGAGGTCAATAATTCAAGTCCCCCTTCTCCACCCCACCCTTATATATATATATATATATATATACATATATACGCCTCGAGACTTGCATATATATTACTAGCAGTGGTGGATTTAGTATGGGAGCAGTGGGGTAACTGCCCCCATTGAAATTTTAAATAATTTTGAGATTTAGGTATAATTTTAAAAAGGGTTAATCTCATTTTGCACCCTGAAAGATCGTTCGAATCTCAATTTACACCTCCAAAGATAAAAAATCTCAATTTACACCCTCAAAGATAGAAATTTGTATCAATGTACACCCCCAAATATCAAAAATCTCAATTTGCACCCTCAAAGATAGAAATCTGTATCAATGTGCACCTAAAACTAAATTGATAAATTATACCTAGATCCCCTCATGTTTGTCACTTAATCATTTGAACCCTTTCACATTTAGAATATTACCCCTACATCTCATGACGTTTGTATATGTGTAAACATAACCACTTTTCGTTGATATCTATTAATATAATCGTTAAAAAATATAATTTTATCCTAATAAAAAATTATAATTTTATATTATCCTTTATTTTGTGGATTCAATATACTCTAAAATTCAAAATCAAATTTACCATTTGAATGTCTAATAGAATATAGATATTTATAAAAAGAAAAATATGAAAAACATTATATAAATATCTACATTTTATTAGACATTCAAATGGTAAGTTTGATTTTGAATTTTAGAGTATATTGGACCCATAAAATAAGGGTAATATGAAATTATAATTTTTTATTAGGATAAAATTATATTTTTTAACGGTTATATTAATAGATATCAATGAAAATGAGTTACATGTTGTACGTGCATAAATGTCATGAGATGTAGGAGTAATATTCTAAATGTAAAGAGGTCCAAATGATTAAGTGACAAACATGAGGGAATTTAGGTATAATTTATTAATTTAGTTTTAGGTGCATAATGATACAAATTTCTATATTTGAGAGTGCAAATTGAGATTTTTTATCTTTGGGGTGCACATTGATATAAATTTCTATTTTTGAGGGTACAAATTGAGATTTTTGATCTTTGGGGGTGCACATTGATACAAATTTCTATCTTTGAGGGTGCAAATTGAGATTTTTTATCTTTGGGGGTGCACATTGATACAAATTTCTATTTTTGAGGGTGTAAATTGAGATTTTTGCTCTTTGAGGGTGCAAATTGAGATTTGAACTATCTTTCGGGGTGTAAAATGAGATTAACCCTTTTAAAAATTTCAAGAATTTCTTAAACTTTCTCCCACTGAAATTTTCTTAAAGTATAGGTATATTAATATAATTTTCAACCCTTAAAAGCTACCTTTTGACCGATTCTCCTCATTTTTCATGTCTAACATTTGTCTCTACTAAAATTTTAAAATTTTTTGGGACCTAAGTGTAATTTTAAAATTTTCAAGAATTTCTTAAATTTACCCCCAGTGAAATTTTCTTAAAATATAGGGCATATTAATATAATTTTAAACCTTTAAAAGCTAACTTTTGGCAGTTTTTCTCAAGCTTGCCTTTTTTTTTCGTAAGCCTTCGTCTTCTCCATCTAGATTTTCAGTCCAGTTCAGGTGTCCGACCAACAACCCCCCTTCTTTCTTTTATTTAATTTCTCTGTTAGTTCCTTTAGTGTATTCATCAACAAATCACCCCTATTGGATTCAATCATTGTACAAATTAAATTTGAAGAAATCCTAGAAGATTATGTTAAAGTTAAGGAGAGGTAATCTATTAACCAAATTTTTTGATAGTAGTACTAGCACTAATATAAAATCAGATTTTTTATATTATAAAATTAGTTTAACTTTTGTAGGATTAATGGTTGTTTGGTTTATTATTTATGAACTTATATAAGTTTTTTTTGTTTCGTCTTGGGTCACCACTCAACTATTTTGGATTTTTGTTAAAATTCATGTTCAGATTGGCTATCTGAGATTCTTGGTTAGTGTTATTTTTCTTCCCTATGACTAAATTGCTTTAATTGATTTCTTGAAATTTTAGTTTGAATTATATATTGGATTTATGGATTATATTTTGATTATGTGTAGTCTATTATCTTGTTTGTTATGAACTCTTAAACTTAAATTTAATTAGACAAATTTATTTTTCAACCAGTTATGAATAGGTTGCCGCCATTGAGGCAAAATCCTGGCTCCGCCCCTGATTACTAGTGGGCATTCCGTGGCAAAAAACAATCATTCTTTGTATTTTCATATGTCGGATAAGAGTTGGTTTGCTTCTTGTAATTTTTTGATACATGAAATAATATCAATCCTTTTCATCATTTTTTAACTCTCATATTATTGAAAAATTACTAATTAATAAATATAAATATAAACATTATTAATTTGTACAATTTTCGTAATTGAACATTAATGAGACCCATTCATAAAATTATATTACATCATTTGAGACGAAGATTTGATAGACATAGCATAACCTTTTTTAACCTTTGTCTTTGACAACAAAGCCACTTGCCACTATTTCATTGGGCACACACACCACGTCATTTAATCCACGTGGTGTGTGGTATTCTTGAAAAAATTTCTCGATATGATCTACCATAAGAAACAGGGTTGAAAAAATTAAAGTAAATTACAAAATACCTCTTTCAAATTTAGGTCATGTTTCAATTAATTACCTGTGATTTCAATTTAAATAACTTGTCCTCATCAAGTTTAGTACTAAAATCAATTACCCCGTTTTTGTTAAATTTGACCGTAAAAAATTTAACAGAAATTGGCCATGTGTATTTCATGTGACCTTTAATTCATGTAAAGACAAATTTACCCTCCTAATAGTTGCTGAGATATTTTTTACCCAAATAGCGTTGCTGTTTTCCGCAGGTTCGGCATCATATTACTTCTTCCTTCCGTTCTTAAATATTTGTCGTTTAAGGTTTTTCCATAAGACTTAAGGAAACTATTAAGTTGTTCTAATATAAGTAAAAAATAATTACACAAGACTAAAATACTCTTATTTAATATGTATTGAAAAGGAAAGAAATATAAAAAATACTAACTTACACTTAATCAATTAAGCACTTATTGAAAAACAGAGATAAAGATAAATTTGAAAGAAAAAATATCAATTATATTTTGATTTTATTAAACAATAGATATTATGAAATAAAAAAAAATATTCAAAGTGACAAATATTTAAAAATAGAAAGAGTATTTAAGACCCTCAACCACCGGCAATAATGTCATCAAGAACACCACATGTTAGTTGCAACTCAAATTCATTATTCATCGTATGTCTCGTACTTGTGCTCAGCTACCGTTCAGTTGAGATCATATGCCTACCTGCTACTTAATTTTCCATTACTCACTTCTCACTTCTCCATCTCCATATGTATTTTTGAATCTCTCAATCATACAACTGAACTAAAGGTAAACGATTGTTCAATACACGAAAAGTTACTCACTATGGAGTTTGACGAGTTATGGAGGGTTAAATGTAAATAATTTTTTTATGCATATGAAAAAATTATTTTTTGCGATAGTAAGCAGTATTTCTTCTATCTCAATACATAACAACAAACTTGCCCACAAGGACGGAGCCATGATTTTTGTTTATCTCGCCTAAATTAAGCATTCATACAACTAATAAAATATAAATATTTTTTAATATATTATGTGGCCCAAAAATTTTGTTTTTAATGTTGGCCAAAAAGTTTTGTTTTTTAATATTGGACCAAAAAATTTATTTTTTTAATGGGTCAAAAATTTTTGTAATAGGTTTGGGTGGATAATATTATACTCAAATTTTTTTGTTTTAAATGGGTGAAATTTTTTAATTTTTTTGGGTAAATAATGTAGGTCTAATATAAATGAGGGGACACACATAATATATTATATAAATATATAATACATATACCTTACTAATAAAAAAAAAAAATTGAGAGGGCACTTGCCTACTCTGGTTCAACTGTCCATCCGCCCCTACAACATTCCGTCTCTGTTCCGATTAAAATAGGAATAGAAAACCTGAAAAATTCTTTCTTTCTATGATTATTGGGGTTTAAGACTTAAGGACTTTGGAAATTGGGCTAATGATTAGTGATTTAGTAAGTTAGTACTCATAATTTTGTATGAAAGTAATAATTTTTTTATTTTGAACTTTAGCCCACCATAATCCATAATGAATCCATATCGAAAGTTTGAGTATTAGGGTTTATATTAGACTCGATAGCTAAGTGCTGTGTCAGCCTAGTTAAATTTCTTCTTTGCTTTCGTTCCCTTTTTTTCCAAGAAAAAAAAAACTACTCTCTCCACCAACAACCATTCTACCACTCAAACAAAGTCTTCCTTTTCTTCTGGGAGTGCATATTGTATAACACCTTTCTCTCTCTCACTCACACACACACACAAACACCCCTACACACACAAAACCAAGTTAAGCAAATATTTTACCAACACCAAACAGCACAAACCAGAAACTTTTCATGGCGTCTCTACAGCTATCTCTCAAAAATCAAAAACACACCCTGCAGGTTCCTTCTCAAAAAGTGTTACCAGTCTTGAAAATCATCAAACCCAGAAATCTCCTTCCCTCAAACAAACCCTTTTCACCAAAACCATCAAAATCTTTAATTAGATGCTCATCTCTCTCCAGTTCAACCCCAGACAAGAAAGAATTAAAAAACCAAGAATATATACAAGATAGCAGACCTCTTCATGAAATATGGAGAGAAATCCAAGGCTATGACAACTGGGAAACCCTACTAGACCCCATGAACTCTCATCTTCGTCAAGAAATCATCCGATACGGCGAATTCGCGCAGGCCTGTTACGATTCCTTCGATTTTGATCCTCACTCCAAGTACTGTGGCACCTGCAAATACCAAGGAGCCCATTTCTTCGAAAAACTTGACATGACAAACAGAAGGTACCACATGAGCAGATATCTCTACGCAACTTCAAACATTAATCTCCCAAACTTCTTCCAAAAATCGAAGATGAGCAGTGTGTGGAGCCAGCATGCAAATTGGATGGGCTACGTCGCCGTCGCCATCGATGACGACGAGATCCATCGGCTAGGACGTCGTGATATTGTCATTGCATGGCGAGGAACAGTGACGTACCTTGAATGGATTCAGGATCTCAAAGACATTTTACATCCTGCTCATTTTCGTGACGACCCTTCAATAAAAATTGAATCTGGGTTCTTTGATTTGTACACCGCTAAAGAATTAAACTGCAAGTACTGCTCATTTTCTGCTCGTGAACAAGTTCTAGCTGAAATTAAGCGGCTTATTGAGAGATTCAGAGGTGAAGAACTGAGCATTACAGTGACAGGACATAGTCTCGGTGCAGCTTTGGCTATATTAACCGCTTATGACCTTGCCGAGATGAAATTAAACGTTATTGACAATGGTGAATCCATTACTAAAATTCCGATCACAGTGTTTTCTTTTTCAGGGCCTAGGGTTGGTAATCTGAGGTTCAAAGAACGGTGCGACGAGCTCGGAGTGAAGGTCCTAAGAGCGATTAATGTACATGATAAGGTACCAACAGTGCCTGGAATTTTCGCAAATGAGAAGTTTCAGTATCAGAAGTATATTGAAGAAGTTATATCATTTCCATGGAGCTATGCTCATTTGGGTGTGGAGCTTCCACTGGATCATACCCAATCTCCATTTTTAAAACCCACCATTGATCTTGGTTGTGCTCATAATCTCGAGGCTCTTCTCCACCTAATCGATGGCTACCACGGCAAGGATCGGAAGTTTTGTTTGGCAACCAACAGAGATATAGCGCTTGTGAACAAGAGTTGCGACTTCCTGAGGAAGGAGTATGGTGTGCCACCGTATTGGCGGCAAGACGAGAACAAGGGGATGGTGAGGAGTGGTGATGGGCGGTGGGTGTTGCCGGAGAGGCCGAGTATGGAGGCTCATCCACCGGACACGGCCCACCACTTTGAACAAGTGATCAACTTGGCCAAGTCTTCATGGGGTGCACTTTAATTTGATGGTAACAGCTGGCAACCATTTGTGCTCATAATTTCCTTTTTTTTTTAATAATATTTTTAATTCTTAAAATATCCATTTATTTATCAGTTTTGCCCTTAAAAATATAAATTTTATCAATTTAATCTTTAAAATATTTATTTTGTGTCAAAATGATTTTTACATAAACGGACTATTAAGTTTTTGACGTAATAATCACGTGTTGGACACGTGATACCATTTGAGCACGTGATCATTTCCGTCAAAAAAATTTAACGAATTATTTGATTAAAGGTCAAAGTGACACAAATTGAATATTTTAAATACTAAATTGATAAAATTAATATTTTAAGAACCAAACAGACAAAATATAAATACTTTAGGAATTAAAAATACTATTAACCCCTTTTTTTGTTTTAAGAAAATGTTACGTGAATTTAATTTATTAATACTATTTATTGGCAAAAAATGTTATTTGGACCTAATACATCGCATCCCAATTAATATATTGATCGTAAGAAATAATATCAATAAATTAAGTCTAATTAACATTACTCTCGATTTTTAATTACCAGAGAAGCTTTTTAGGTATAATGACTTGATACAGAAGAATATGGAGTACCCGAACCACCTATGTTTATAGTTTGCAGATGGAATGTTTAAACTTAATGTGGCTTAAGGATCCAAGAGAGATCGACTGTCAACTTGTGGCTGCAAAGGCAATGGGAGCTTACTCCGGTAACCATTTTTGAACCTGCATGATGTTTTGGAAAACTTCTGCTCTTTGGGGGGTTTGTGATATGGATGCATTTTGCTGCTCAGGGATATGGAAGCAATTTGGTGCTATCAGAAGATCTATCATCCACTTTTTGTTCCTTTGATTGAATTGTAATTAGCAGTATACTTTGTATTTATACATGTACTTTATTTTTTCAAACAAATAACGTTGTGGAGTTTATTTTTTTAAATAAATTTAATAAATTATTTAAATTTAACTCGTTTAAAACATGAATTAAACTCGAGTCAAATCTTATACGAATTTAAACCCGAACCGAACTTGAATAATTTGACTCGATTATCCACCGTAATGGGTGGTTTAACATTGAGTCATCCCCACCATCATAAGTAACTTTACATAACAGCCGCCCGAGTGCGCTTGGCGTTGCGCATGCTCTAAGTAAGCGAGTGCGAGTCCCAATAGTCTTGTAGAATCCTGTACTTTTCTGAACCAGCTTACTTGCTCGAGAGAGATGCCCACGCCCACTACCGGAAGAGTAATATTATTTATGGTTAAAAATTTGATTTAATTTGTTGATATAATGATATGACTTCGGCAGAATTATTAGATCAATACCAAGTTTCTTTATTTGATGGACCTCACAATTAATCTAAAAGTCATAATAAATTAGGTCAACAAATTAGATCAATAAATTAGGTCACAATAACATTGTTCCTATCAGAAACCATCCAAAATTGGCCCAAATGAAATCAATTTAGTTGTCTAAGGTTTTGATTGTTTTATTATATATATATATACACACAAATGCAAAAAGAGTGGTATTGATCATTAGTGTGTGTGTATATATATATATATATACTGATGATGCACAAAAATAGTTTTGCACACCACCTATCAAGTGTAGGTAATAAATGCAGTAAAATCAATGAGAAAATTAAAGAAGACACGATTTATAGTGGTTCGGTCAATTCGACCTACGTCCACTCTTCAATGGCTTCAATTGCCGAGTATTTTATTAATTCAAAGGTATGGAGAATAGAGATACAAGCTTTGAGAGAA